GGTCCAGTGATGGTTCTACGAGTCTTAGTCGGTTTACACGTTGTGTTGCCAACGATAAAAGCGCGGGAAAATGACGCACGAATGTGTTCGATTCGATCGGGAGGAAGATAATTAAATTAAGGTAATGGTAAATGGTACCGATGATGGTTCGCGTCGCGAATGCAAGCTGTTCCGTGATAATTGTTGGTACACGTTAATTATTCCTTTTACTACCGAACCTCACCCCTCAAGCTGCGCTCGCTATTAAGTATTCTCCTTTGCACCTGCATTTTAAGCACCGTTTCGTAACGACCGCTGGATCTCGGCGACAGATTAAAAGCTTTCGCCCGAGACAAATCTGAATGTACCGTGCAACCAGGGAACAATAATTGGCCGAAACTAAAACGGTACGACGTTTCCGTTATCCGGTACCTGGGTAGATCGACCTTACGTATATCTCGAGGAGTATACAGGATTATTTTTATTTATACACGGGATAAAATGAACAGACGAAGCGACAATACTCTTTTAGCGGGATACGAAGATCAAGTTAAATGATTTTAATAGAACTACCTTTATAGACTAGCGTTTCGACGATCACCGACAACTGAAACAATTTTTTCCAATTTTCTTCGGTAGACTGTTTGCGTTTGTTTTCCAACGTATTAAATTTGTCGTTTATTTTATAGCCAACAAAATATAGTTACCGTAATTAAAGTCGATTGCGATGGATAATAAGGCAGGTGTGAATTTCGAAACGCGTTTCGAACGGATGGGGAAAAAAGAACCGTCCGGAATAGAAACGGAAAGGAGAAAACCGGGCGCGGTTTGAAATCCGATGGATCCATTCAAAGGGAACGAGAGATGTTCCCTGTCGGCGTTGTTTTTCTTTTTTTCATTTCTTTTTTTTTATAAATACGCGTCTTGATATTCTCGACGCGTTGCGTGCCTGTACGCGAAAACGCATGAATGGGACACGTCTCACGATCCGACCGCAAACTTTCCTGCCATTTGGAGAGGATGTACGAAATCTTTCACCTCGCTGGGAGCGGAAAGAGCGCGTCAAGCCTTGAAAAGTGTGTCCCTCGGACGTGGTTGGGACTTGCTACACTATCCTCTCGTGTTACGACATCGATAAGCTCCACCTGTAACGAGAACTGTTTCACTCGAACAACGAAATCGCGAGACCGACGAACGCGACTACTTCCGGCCGCGACGTCTACGCGATTTCACTCTTTCGATCGCCATTTATCGGATCTATAGTTGATTCATTTTTTTGTTTACGAAGAAAAGAAGATCGCTGACCATATTGCCAAGACATTCAGATCTGTTTGCATCGGCTATGATAAATAAATAGTGCGGGGAGTAGGAATATAGCAATTATTATGAAATTCCAAGACAATCGCGTAACGTAACACTTGTCATAATTAAACGACATTCTGTTAAAGCGATACCAGTGGTCCAAATTCCGAAGATCCATCTGCATTTCTTTACTATCACAAGTTTAAGAAATAATCCTAAAAAAAATCGATTAAAAATTCTATCGCTGTTATTAGAAAACCCTACAATAAAACTGCATTTCAGTTTTCGGTGGTATACAATTTTGGTTTATCGAAACACCAAACCAAGCTAGCGTTTAATTGATTCATAGATAGTACAAATAACCGAGAAATAGGTTTCTCTAGAGCAAGATAAAGTGGAATGTTGTTGTGCAGGGAGAAATGGATTCGAAATTGCTGAATTCGAGCATTTCGATGAGCTTTTCGGGATTCTTGGGATCACTATGCGTCGGTTTGAAATTACACCGGATACGATCGTCTCGGGAAGCACACTTGTTCGAGCAAACCGGCCAGTCGCAGTCGAACGGCCAGGCGTACGCGCGCACCTTGGAAACATCGCAGGTGCAGTTACCTGCTGGTCGAGTTCTTTCCTCGTCCTTCCTACGGCAGCCAATTATGCAAGTTTCACTTATCCGAAGTAACCAGGTAGCTCGTTATCGCAAGACGCGGGACCACGAGTGGGTTAAGGACATCGGGACCTGCTTTCAATACATTCCTTGATACTCATTCTTGTAACACAAAGGTGCTCCGTATTCCAATAATACAATGTTCTTGAATTTTCCGTTTGCCCTCCTTGAGTTTCTTCGGCGTTCGTAGAACATAAAACGTGCCCGATTTATTCATAAAGCATATTCATCGTTACAGAAATAGATATAATATTTATTCGTTAATTAAAGAGTAATATACTTGACATTATTTTTAAAACAGTCGTTTTCATCGATGATCTTTTTACATTTCTGCGTCGTCCAGTTTCTACGTTGAATTAGTCAAAGCAAATAGAACCAAAACTCTTCTGTTAAAAATAACTAAAATCCAGTCTTTAATTCCATACGTATCCTACATACCCCGAAAATTTCATTGTCTCTTGCAAGTTGATCAAAACATCAAGAAGATTTCGATTCGATGCACCGTTATGTTGGTATCGCTTTGAGAAGCATTGTGCTACCAACTACTTTCGATCCGTATCTTCTATTCGCTATCGAATGGTATCGAATCGATTTGGTATCGTCGATAGTATCGGTCTCGATTCCATCGGTAACCCGAATTATGGACCTGACCTACATCGACCCAATGTCGGTTGTAGGAACCGCGGTGGCAACGGTTCGGTCCCGATGGATATTTACGACGTCGGTGGAGGTTTCAAGGTCAGCGATCGGTACCCACCTAATCTAGATCCGACTAGAGTTGGACAACACACGCGATCGCCGAAGGTGGATCCGATTCTAGGAAGGCGGCCCAATAGAACGTGTCGGGTCGGCGCAGACGCACTGGTTGGTTCTCCTTCCCCGCGAGTCTCCTGCCGAATCAAATCTACTCGCGGCGCTAGTATGCGCGCGCATCTCTCTCGTTTTACCGTCTCGACTGCCTATTGGTCTCGCCGCGTCGTCCCCCGTTCTCCCCGACTGCCAACCAAGTTGTCATTAACTAAATAGACTGCACCGATGATTTTCCTCTCTGTCATGCACCGGATCATTCGCCATTTTTCATTCCTTCGTCTCCCGCCGCCACATTTTCACCCCCTCAGTCGTCTCTGGCGGTTCTCCAGAATAAGATTTTAGATTTTAATTTTGGTTTTTGAAGTGGTCTATAATCATATTTACGGCGATTAATCTAACGCTGACGCATCTCGAAACGGTGACTACAGTCGGGCTCCATCTCTCAAGAGAAACGTTATTCTTCGAACTCACGATGATTTTAGTCGTGTCAAGCCTTTGTTAAACTTTTGGAGGCCATTTGAATTCGAAACGCTTTCAGAGTAAAACTATTTTTATTTTCTCGCCTAGTATAAGAGGATGTTTGAAAATATTCGTCTTAGGGGTGTAAAAATAGAGGATTTACCCTTCAGAATCACTCTAGGGAGATTAAAATGATAGCACATGAGCACTGATAAGAATGATAGATCATAGATAATGAGAGCATAGCTTGAGCACTGATAAAAACAAAGATAAATTGTAAACAATTACAAGTAGTAATACTACATTGGCTGGTGCATTGTGCATTATGAGATGTCAGAATCTTAGTTTCTGCTCTTTTCAATGATTCGTGACAAAAAAAAACTTGCAACATTGTTATTTTATATGGATAAAAAATAAAAGTTATTCTTACGACGCATTGTCCTCAAGAAAATTGATTTTACAAATTCGTAAGTACGATCTGGTGAACGAGTCTGCCCATTACTTAACTTTTCTACTTACTTGTTCTCAATACTCACGACACCTTTGATAAAAATAATGTTAACCATTGAAGGCAATGCAACGTAATGCATCTTTTATTGATCTAACTGTCTCGTAGTTTGTTAGAATCGATCGAAACGAACAATACCGTACAAACATCGATGCTTACGCGAAAAACTAGTAGAAATATCAAGCAATGGTCAGACACGCTAGACAAATCGAGAGAAAAATATAATTCGAGCTTCAGGTTGCATGATTCTGGTTCGACCGATCAAAGTCAGGAAATCGAAGGCTTAGTTTATGATATATCAGCATCGTAACGTAAACATGTCAATGGATTAGGTGTGTAATAGAAACAATTCCTTTCAAGAACTTAGTTTCTCGCAGAGATTCGATTCTATGCAAGCTGGTAGTTTTAACCCCTTAGCTTACAATGACGTTTCAGAGGCGTGATAAGTCTACCGAGCCAAACATAAATAAGACGTCTCAGAGACGTGATAAGTCTACCGGGCCAAATCTTGGTGTCACTTTTGACTCGCACAGTTGGAAATTAAATCATAAGGCAACGAGTTAACTGACAACAATATGGGTAATGGACCGAAGGAGGAAGCGATTCTTGTATGATAATATTATTATATTATACAATTATAATAAAAAGAACACACGACAACAATAATGACTACACTCGGTACGCGGTTTTTTCCTCGACGTTGGCTATAACAACGATCGAGTAGGACCCCTAAAATACAAACTAGAAACAAATATAATGAAATATAAATATACATACACACGCATACGCATTCATATCTGGATGCGCACCAAATATCGTAGGACTGTTTCTACGCGTAATTTCGAGAAAGGTGTGCTGAAAACGTTCCATTTTATCAACAAGTCGGGAGTTAAAAGATATTCCTCAGGTGCCATTCTGAAGAACGACTATAGTTGGTAGTTTAGCTAAATTCGTGCTGCTTGTTTTGAAAGTACAAGTCCTAAAAGATCATTTATCGTCACCCTTGCCCTACGTCGTGTTTCTAGGGTTTTTCGGTGGGGTGGGGGAGGAAAAAGGATGCGCTCGGTCAGGCAGAAAGAGGAAAAACGAGGAGCGTGGAAGGCAGGGATGAAACGGTCGCCCCGACAGCGCGCGTGCGCCGATTCTCGTGGGCTAAAGTTGCGTGTAGCACGGTGGGCGTGGCCTCCAGGTAGCGGAGAACGCGTGAGGTGACGCAGGTGAGAAGAGAGAAACCCGAGCACGTAAACGGCTGAGCTACCGGCAGACTGCGACGCGCGCTCCTCGCGAGACCGTGCGTGTAGCCTTCTCGGCCAGACCGAGGTCAGTCAGGGTCCTGCTCTTAGTCAGGACACTCCGGAGAACATCTTCGAGAGGATCAGCCGGACAGCCGTTGTCTATCGACAACCCTTGTCTTAACGATCTATTTTTTCGTTACCTCGGAACATTCGTTGCACGGTATCGTCGCGAACGATCGATATCGATCGCGAGACCGTCCGCGGGAGGCGAGTGCCGCGCGACCGCGGCTCAAGGGAAGTGTTCCGCGTCTCGATCCCGATAACGAAAGGAAGAAAAACATTTTTCGGTCTGTGGATTTGTGTGGAAGGTTTGTGCGCGAACCGCGGGGAACTGTAAACTTTGGTGCAAGATACTCGCGGTGGAATTACCTCGTTCCTCTCCATGAGCAGTCGGAAGCTTTGACGCAACGATCGATCGACCAGCAAAACGCGATGTGCGGTGAGTCTATTGCCGCTCTGTGTCATCCTTTTTCGAAGCTAGAATCGACGCACTTAACTTCTGTCGCGACAAAGTTTACTCCCGGAATAAATGCTCCGGCATTTACTAATCTCGTAATTGTTATCTAAACCAAAATTTGGAATAAGAAATATTTTCAAAGTTCCTAAAATATCCTTGCTTTTCTATGGTTGGACTAGAATACCCCCCAAGGTTGGTCGTCAGTTTATTTAAAAAAAAAATAGTTTATTTATTTATACGATACTCTAGAATAATATTGTTGTTTACGTTTGAGTATAAATTTCTCATTTCTTGTACTGTCCGTTTCGTGGCTAAACGATTTGAACGGAAACGTAATAAAAGTGTAATTTTGTACGTAGAAGGAATTAATTCGGTCGTAGTTTCGATCAAACGTTTAAAATTCGTCTCTGATTAAAAAAGAAAAAAGTGTTTATACAAGCTGTTCCATCGTAGATAGTGCCAGATTTTTAGAGAACATCTGTTCCTGGTACCGATTCCGAATCTTTTAGAGAGACAGTCGTTTATATCGACACTTGTTTACACGATTTTAATCGACTTGGAGTCACAGCTGTTTTTCAAGATTTTCAGAAAGTCATCTTTCTATTACTAATTTATTTTAGTAGTTCTATTTTAGAAATTCGATTCGCTGGTGGATTTGGTACGAAATTTATTTCGATTCTGTTACGACTAAAATTGTTTATGCGAATCTAAGGAAAAATCGAAAAAAATAGGTGCAAGTAGAAATAAGGAACGTTTAGATAATGAATAGTAGACTTTATCGTTTCAAGGATGTAAATACGTTCGAACACGATTATAACAAACACTGGTAGAGTGACAAAGCATTCTATTTATAACTATTAGTTGCTATATCAGCGAGAAGTTTAAATCCAACAACTTTTTTTTAATTTTCAATAATTTGATAGACGAGTTCTAAAAATAAATTGAAGAGAGGAAAATAATGTAATTATGTACCCACGACTAATACTTGTATTAACATGCTTGTACAAATTACGATACCCTTAGTATTGAACACAATTTATTTCTTTGCAATTACAAGCATTAATAATTGATTCTTTGTAGTCATATTTACTATGGTAACTGTTGTACATAATCTCTCGTGTAGTAAACCAAGTTTACTAGTGCAATTCTAATCGTGTTGTCGCTTCTAGAGACATGAACGCTATTAACGCAAATTAACAATAGAAAACTCTAAATAAAATAAGTAACACGTAACTTTATATTGTCTACTCTATACAAATCATTATGTATAATAAAGTTACTTTGTAAATTTCTTTAATGCTTGGTAGTTTTTTCGTTCCGATGCTTGTAAATTTACACTTTTTTTTTGTAAACTCGAGTAATAATGTACGTTTGTACGACGCAATATTTTCCTCCTTTTTCCACGGAATAATGCAAACGTTGTTAAACTCGACGATAAATAACGGTCGGTGATTGACATCGAACTCGCGCATTATACCTCGATATCTATGCTAAGCAGGAACGACTTATGCGTGTATCTTGCACGGTCGTGTTTGCAAATTGTATTACAGATTTATTCAAACATCGAGTCACGATTATTAGGTACATTTACGCTCGAGCACGGCCGTTATCTGTTAGCAGAAAGCCTTCGAGGCAACGGTTACCATTTTCTTGTATTATTGGTCGAGCTATAATACGATCGTGTTTCTGTAGATTTTTCTAAAAATACACTTGATCGTGTATTCTCGAAATTTATTTTAATCTCCTTGCTTAACGAAGTTAATTTTCATCGTTAAAACGATTTTACGATTCGTTTGTCTTGGATCGTGTTTTAAAATTTTTCTCCGGCCGAATATTATTTTATTCGATTATTTATTTCCGGAACCCTTTGATAGAAGGAGTAACAAGCGTAACAAAAGTAAACGTAGGCAGTCAGATACGTGAAAACAGAAATAAAAGATAACTAAGTAAATAAAAACAAAAAAAAAAACATAATTGGTAGAAAAAGAAAGCAAAATATCACGTATTGCAGAAATATAGAGGAAAAGATTTATAAAAATGAGTATACTTTATTGTTGATGTTTCGAATTTTAGATAATAGGTATCAGAATTTTTCAAGAAAAAACAAATGTAATACAATCTTTTTGCCATCGTCTTAGTTAATTGTACAGTGTATTTCATCTTTAAAATAATACTTGTACATTTACTAAGGTATTTTCTATTTTTCTTTCTTGTAACTAATATATACATGTATGCTCTCATCTTTATTATTCATAATTCCTATTGTGTAAGTTTTCGACCCCTGATAGAATCCAAACATGTACCTGAAGAAGAGGATTCAAATACATACGGAAGACATATATGTCAATATGCAATAACGGCTTATTTAAAACTAGCCGTTCGAGTTATTTATTATTATTATCTAGAATCATTTGCCTTTTACTATAATTTTATCTATTTTTACTGGTCAAACCCGTCTTTCTTGCTCAAAGCGTCGCGGAATACTAATGTGTTTGCTATAGATTCGTGCGTAACGCGTTACTGCTGTAAGGAATATATTCGAATTTTGAGTTTCCAGTGACCCAGTTATTGTCAAATTAGGGTTGATTGACTCCGGACACGAGTTAAGGGGCAAATTGCGGATGACATCAGTCTCGAATACCCCTAATTTTTATCAGATACTAAAGTAAACTTTTACAAACTCGAATTCAAAGCAGAACATTGAAGGGAAAGAACAAGAAGTGGACTTTTCTAAAACTTTAGAACTGTAAACTAATCCATGGTATTTAAAAATGCGAACGATAATACACGGAAGAACTAAGATTTATTTTATTTTTCTCATTATTAGAGAATCGTGTTGAAAGAGAAATATCTTTTGTTCTATTATTAAAAATCTGACGAAAGAGTCTTAAAAGATTTCGTGCTTGATCTTGTTTCTACTCGAAGCTTGGTTCTTAAAATCTCGATAGTAAAATGGTAGCTCGCTGTTCTTCGTTTTATTACTAATGAAGTTCGTCGAATAGCCACACCTGTTTCGACTCATGATCAGATGAAGTTTCCGTTCTCTGTGCCCAGAACGACCACACGCACGCATACTTTATGATATATAATTCATAATCGTTGCTCGAGGGAGGAGCACGTTTGTGATTTTCACTATAAATCTGATAACTGTGACTATCCGTGGCTCGCTCGGAATACTGCATTAACGTATACTCGCTTTTAACTACACTGAAAACGCGTTTCCACTCTCTCGCTCCGATGACCGACTGTAATCGTTTGTCGTGAAACGATCTCTGAATACTAAGGGCGAGCTTAGTTACTTGCAAAGCAAATTCCACGCGTTATAATAAATAACATCATGTATGACGGACAGTCGAAGATCAGAGAAAACCTTTTTATACTTTCGTTCCTTTTCCTTTTCTTATTTGTACTTTGTACCACGTTCGTTGGAAATCTTGTAGCCTATTGATATTTTGCAAAATATAAATTATGAAAAGCAAGCAGAAAACGAATAGAAAAAATTTCCTCCGAATTTGAGAAAAATAGTAGGAGTTGAAGGATGCAAGGATTTTGAATTTTATATAAACGACAGTAATGCAATATTTTGTCAGAATGTTGTGTAAATAAAGTTTGTTGTGTAAACACAATCCTCGTAATGAAAAAGTTTTAACGTTAACAACTTGAATAAGTATTGCGTTTACAAGTTTATGATGTCGTATATTTGCAAAGAGGGTGCCGAATCGTAGCAGTATCGGCGTTGTTAGCATCGCGACGCTCGTTTGCATGCACTATATAGCGACGATTTGTCCATTAGAAGCGGTACCGCGGACTTGGTACACGAAACCAGAACTTCACTGCAACGGCGTTGGGGTTCCAGCGGGGGCGTTGTCACCCCCCGCCACGCTTTCACCACCCAGCAGTCCGAGCGTGACTCTGCCGCCTTCGCCTTGGAGTCCTGGCGCGACAGGAAACACCAACAGCACCGCGACGTCGTCCCATCGTTCCTTGGTTTGTTCCTCGAGTCTCAATCAACCATCCTCGGATCGATTCAGCGCTTTCACTCTCGTCTCTGCGTACAATCCTGACACGAGACTTCAAACTTTGCCCTCGACGACCATCGCCGCCACACGAGGTAACACAATCATCTCTACCCCCGCAAGAAATTGCTCTCGATAAGGGTAATTATGCAATGCAATGAATTTGCCTTCCTGGATACTGAAAACTCTTGAATACATTATAATACAAATAATTGTAGATATATTATATCGTCCCATAACTTCGTGCCGTCCGATATTCTGAAATTTTGTAACTTAATAGAAAACGATGCAACTGTATCTTATTCCCAAGCGGAACTCTGCAATTTTTATTGCACTATTCAATAGTGTTTTAATCCATACAAAATAGTAGTAAATCTGATAGTTTAAGAGTTATAACTTGTAACAATTTAAAGTGAAATATTAGGTTTATGGCACAACTACTGTAATACTATTTTGTAATGCTTAAAAAACTAGATCGAATAGTGCTATCGCAGTCATAGAGTTACATTTTAAAAAAGGGTGCAGTTACATCGGTGCATCTAAAAGGTGCAATTGCACTTTAAAAAAAATAGAATTTTATAATTTTGATTACGCTATTCGGTGCAACTTTTTAATCTCTACAAAAGAGTATCAAGACACTTACGCCTAGGAAATGAAATTTGGTGGGTTTCAGAACTACGGTGTGGTCTAATGTACGGTGGTTATGGGTCGGCGGGAGCTACCTGGTGGGCTCGACACGTGAGCCTCTTACTACCCCATTCCTTGCTACCATCCGCGAGAATACCTACTCAACAAACCACGCCTGTCGCCAATTGTTCGCCTATTCATCTAGAACCTCTCAGCCCATCCAGATCTGGCTCGCCAAGAAGATGCACCCCCGAAAAGACTAAATTCGGTGAGCATTTATGGTTCACCCTTTCAAATCACGTTCCTTCTTTAAATTATACTGATTGTTCATCCCCGATTCAACCTTCTGCGAAAATTAAATTCATCGTTTTACAAGTGGGGATTTAAAAAAAATTGTTTTCCTAACCTTATGTAACAAAATAATCTGTTTACTTGATTTCAACAAAAAAGTCTGGGTAAATTTTATTCGTAATTTTCACCCGAATCGTTTAAAGCATCTAAAACAAGTTTGAAAAAGAAACCCTCTCGCCGATTATTTCTACTCGCAAGCAAATAATAACGATTCCATTCTGCTAGCAGTTTGCAAGCACTTAATTACTGTCATTAGTGTCCACGCGTGTTGTTATCAACAAGAGAAGGAAAACCTGGCAACTAAACCAATTACGAATCCTTCTCAGTCTCGTATAACGTCTCGATTTCGAAAATTACCGACGATTACCTGACGTGTCCCTTTTTGCGCAGTCTATAGAACGCTAACAAATTAGGTTCCTGTCATTGTAATATCGTTACGCGTTTATCATTTTAGCTACGGTATTTCAAAACCAACTTTTCACTGGAAAAGCTTTGTGCGGACTTAAAAGTGTATAAATTATTGGAAACGAATTAGATTTCTCATAATTGTGACTCTTTAGAAATTGTTTCCTTTGCTAACTCGAAATATTTAAAACGAAAAGTGAAATTACAAAGGCAAAGCATATTTTATTCACGCATAGTAGTAATAATTTATTAACACGCGACTCGTGGAACACGATTAATGTGGATTAAATGTGTATGAATTATTGAAAGCGAAGTATTTAAATATGAATTTCAGAAGAAGAGGCGCCGCTGAATTTGAGCACCAAACCCGGCGACGTTTTGTCCAGTGTCGAGCGAAAAAGTAAAATTTGGTCACCGGGGACAGTTTGCGAGAGGGAAGCAAAAGAGATCAGAGTCCCATCTTCGAGTCCATCTTTAACACCTGTTGTCACTCGACAGATTCACCATTCACCCTTGACACCACCCTCCTCGTCGGAAAGGACTTTCCAGGTAAGTCTTTAAATTAAAACAACTGTAACGTGTTTCCAATTTTATATTTAAATTCGCTTCTACTACTCCTACCAACGATCACTACCTCAATTTTAATAAAGGCCAGGTGCCGTATTTAAGCCACTCAATACGTTTTTAATTTTATCTAAAGAATCACACCGAGTGTAAATTAATTTGTCAGAAAGTGATGCATGAACTAGCGATATTAGCGGAAAGATGAAATTCTTTCAGTTTGTAAGTTTAGTTTGTAATTTTTTCATTTCGAAAAAAGGGAATAATTTGGGGAAAGAAAGTAACAAAGTCGATTCGAACGCTATCGATATCGGTGTAGCAAAATCTCCAACGACAAATTACTCGCCGTGAACAAACGTCGAGCATTCCTTTCCGTCAGTGCGCGAAAGCCAGCTTTACGAGTTTCGTAAACACTCGTTTCGGACTTTTACAGGTTCGACACCCTCGAGCTCGTAAACCGTACCGCGGTCAACTAGAGTCGCACTTATGGAAGTGCAGAGTTGTGGAACTCTGACGATTCATACTTCTCGGTGCGTCTCGAACAGAGAAAACGTTTCCTTGCAAGCGCGTAGGGGAGAACAACGCAACAACGATTACTCGGGACCGGAGATAGGCAAAGTTTTATTCGAATAATAGATAACGAACGAAATCAACTAGCAGTAATTTATCCGCGACAATTCTTTTATCGAAAGATGTGGAGAAAAACACAGTTGTTCGGTGCTCTTTAAACAGCTCTAACGTCGTAAATTTTACGAATTTTAAGAAAATAATTCTTGTTTAAACTTGTAGATCTAAGAATACTCGTTTAGTCTAACTTAAAAATCTATATATATTTATCCTGAAACCAATTATTGTGTTTTGTTAATCCATCTGCATCTTCACTCTAAGCATAAAAATACATATTTCAAAATAGAATCATTTTATATGATGTTAGAACGTAAATATTTATTCTTTTTCATAACTGTACGGTAACTAAACTTAAAGTAGATACTAAAATTTTTGGAACAATATGATAATCTTTAAAATATAGCATTTATTTCTCTCGTGTAATTATTATTATTTGAACTCTATCCGATAGGAAACTAGATAGCCAAACGAGCGTGTAGCCATTTATTTCTGACGCCTTTAATTTGGAAATTAAGATCGAAAGATTAGTACGATCGAAAGGGTTTAGAAAAGTCGGTGATTTTAGTGATAAGCAACAGTTATTGTGCGCGTATCGTTCCGTTTAACGATGCAAATGGGTTAATAAGCCGGTTCGATTTAGAGAGGTATCCGAATCCGTGGGATCGAGATTCGGAGTTCCGTAAAATGGGATATTTGCATACGGAGGAGAAATCCGTGGAAGTCACGCGATGGGAGTATTCGCGGTGGCGCAAGTGCCCTAAAGTGCACCGTGGATCGACGAAGAAGAGGGTCAAGCGTTTGACGAATGTCGGAACTCGACAAAAGGCAGCGGCGCAATTACGGCTGATTGAATGGAAGTAGAAACTCGCTTGGCTACAGTTTTACGCGCGACACGTAACAGCCAGTGGACATATTAGGATATCTGGGGCACACGCGCGTCACACGATCCTGATTCCGACCGACAAAAGCTCTCCTGTCCCCGAAACCGGACCCGAGTCTCTTTCCGATCGCCCCCCAAACAATTCTCGCGAACAGAGCGTCTCTCCTTACCTGACCCTCCTCGATCCAGGAAGTAAGCGTTCTTCGAATCTTCCGGCACGGAAACCGCAGCCCCGATGCACCCAATTAGAGACCCACGATCGTCTAAACGTTTACGATCAACGCCGTTTCTACCAAAGATGTCAGGCTTATTTTCTAGATTTAATTTTTCCTCGTTTTGCATCTCTGTCAAAAGTTGCACAATTTTATGAAAATACGCACCCTTCGTGTTTCAAATTCAGTGGGATTTCGCAGAAATATTTTTTTCTTCCTCCACAATACCGACATTGCGTTTCGACCTAAATTAAGTATCCCATTTGCAGATGTTTCGCGATATTTCGATTCGAGACACCGATACGTTGTACCGTTACGCTCAGCGACGTCCCCGTAATCTCAGGTTCCGTATTCAGTAATCGCTGAATCGTTAATTCCTTTTCCATACCAAGTCCTAGTTTCTTCGCTAATTTAGTAAATAACGTAAAGTGACAATTAAAATATGATATCGCAATGTAGAGACTCGAAACTTCAATTTAAAAAAGTTACAGCCTTTTCAACACCTTTTCTAATTCACAAACGACAAATCGATATACACGCTAAAAGAGTTTGTCGGAGGAGGTACAAACGGTACGTAAATTTACGAACGAATAAGATTCGTCCGACTCTGATATCCCAGAATTTCTGGGAAAGTGCAACGATTCTCGAGCATCTCGAATGGCGTTCGGTCGAGGAGACCGTAATTTCGAATTCGTCTTGCGACGCGGTTGCTTACTGCATTTGGACGACATCGAAGAAGTTCACCGAAACTCGTTCGCGTGTCCCTTCGGGAGACCGCAGAACGTGTAATGGTTCCTAAAGAGCTGATAAATCGTCGGTACCGAAGTACCGAGGTTTCTTCGTAGAAGCGTCGCTCTTTGGAAAAAAGTCTGAAAAAAGACGAACGTCGCAAGTCTCGTCGAGTTTAATTTTCTGTCGGTGCATTTGATGCTCGAACGAAACAATCTTGAGCTTAACCGACACGAGAATTCCTGAAATTTATAAAATTCTTTGAACAGAATCAAAGAAGCAGACTCGAACTGTCAGAGTTTCCTCTTGACATTTCTAAACGCAAGACCTGAACGCTCGTACAGGGGCCACATACGAAAATAATAATTTCATTTTAATATTTCACGATTCTAAACGAAATCGTTGGGGTTCTTACTGTCGGGGTTCCCCTTTGTTCACGAACGAAATATTTCGTGCATTTATCGCGAGGTAAATTGCACGATAATATCAGTTTTGTCTGAATATTTGACGATGGTATTCTTGGAATAGAAAGTATTGTTAAAGAAATGGAATTATCGGAACTGTGACAGTGACGTTCCCTCTGAAAGTATGTTTCCCCAATAGGCATTACGTTTATCGACGGGAAAAGGTTTTCTAATGGCGGTTTGGGTAAAACGTCGAGTCCGGGAAACGACGCGGTTCTCCGCTAATTGCGATAAGAGTGGAAACCCATTAGAAAGATTATCGAGGGTCAAACACCGTGCAGAATTAATATCGTTGTAATATCGTTTCTTATTATTGATCGTCGAGGGTCGTGAATCATGCGTACTGGCGGGTCGCGTCTACCGGTACCGGTGCACACTCGTAAGTAATAATATTCCGCGGTGGCGCGTTCGTACGCGATTCCACGCATGTACCTATGCGTGTATCGTGAAAAGAGACACGCCTAAGTCGGCAGCATTGTCAGGACTGGCGCCCATGCGACAATTAGTCGAGGAGAAAAACCGCGGCTCTGTGAACACAGGTGCGCCTGGCGCGACCGTCTTGCCGATCCGATCGTCTTCCTTTTGCAACATCCTCCGCACCGATTTCGATACTCCAACCAACCCTTCGTCCACGACCAGTCGTCCTCTTAAAACACCCAACGAACGAACCGAAAAATCAACAATTAAAAGGAAACATCGCTAAACATTGTCGAGATTCCCTCCCACCCCCCTCTTAAATTATCAATTTAAACAACCATTTATGTACCAGCCGTTTTGACTGGTGTTAGTATAAGTATGATACAAAAATAAAATTGCAGAAAACAAATCTAACACGAAGTAGGAATTTTTAAATAAAATTGTGAAACCAGTCATTATGACTGGTGTAGTTTTAGCGTTAAATAGAAATATTAACAGAAACGTGTATTTTGCAAGGTGTTTCTAGCTGGTGGCCTGACAAGTTTCAGCTAATTAAAATTAAAAACAACCGTGAATCATCGAAAATAAAACGGTTTTTCCCCAATAATTAGTTCAGTGTTTCAAATATGAAAAATAATAGACATGCTGACGAAGATGTAATTATTTCAAGAACTTTGATAGTCAGAAGAGACTGTAAACAATTTATTTCTTCGCGTTTAATAGGAAATAAATTAATAGGGTGTACGTTTACCCTAGTATTTGAAAATCGAGGACTCCGTTTCGACCAAGTTTTTCTTTCTGTCGCAGTGCAAACAGTGTGGGAAGGCTTTCAAGCGATCGAGCACGCTCAGCACCCATCTTCTGATCCATTCCGACACCAGACCGTATCCTTGTCAATATTGCGGCAAGAGGTTTCATCAGAAGTCGGACATGAAGAAGCACACGTACATTCATACCGGTGAGTTTGACGCTGCCATTAAAATAGAACGACTCGTTTGCAAAATCGTGTTTATCGCGACTGATCGCGGGACGGTTTTGAGAAAAGTATCGCGAATGGAGAATTATCGAGTTGACGATGGCTGAAACTTTGTTCGGATCGTGCGCGTCTAAAAGCGCGGCTAACTTTCAAATCGAAGAAACTTGCCGGTCGTTGTTGAATTATTCACGCGAACCGTCTCGTTTCTAATATGCTCGTTCGGCCGCTGTATTATTCAAGGTATCATTGTTGTCGCGCGATCGTCGAAACCTCCTACCTTCTGCTACCTGAGAAACAACTCTACGAGTTCGCAACTTTTCAAGTTCTTTCCTCTCGAGCGCGGGAATCTTGGAAAAAAAACGCGACACGCGTTAACGATTCCTCGACTTTCGACGAAGAAACGACGACGGTCGTGGAATTTAGTACCGTCCTTTTACGACATTTTCAACCGTTGTATTATTCAAAGTATCATTGTCGTCGCGCGATCGCCGAAACTTCCCACCTTCTGCTATTCGAGAAACAACTCTAGAGTTTGCAACTTTTCAAGTTCTTTCCTCTCGACTTTCGACGAAGAAACGACACAGTCGTTGAATTTAGTATCGTGCTTTTTCAAAATTTTCTTTTACCACGATATCGGTTTAAGACGACGGAAAGGTTTGCTACGGCACTGAGAAATCCCTGTTGTTCTGGTTTCCTGTCGAACACATGTAGCGATGGCAACAAAAATAGCAATACGCCGCGGGAACGAAAGTATACGATCCGCGCGTGATTCACGTAACGTACACACGTAAATAGGACACAGGTAGATGTAGGTGCGACGAGCATAGATGCACACTGCCGAGGATGCGTTCTATCGCATTGTATAGTGCGCGTTAACATGCACGAGGCGCGTGGATCAAAAAGGCGCGGTTTGTATGACGACCCCGCGACACAGGCTTTTTGGCATCGCTCGTGACAACCAGCGAACGTGCATGCCGCGATAAGCCTACCTTCCTTTCGATGATAACGTGTTTCGCTCGTTTAATCATGACGAGCCGTCACGCTGATCGATTTCAGAAATCGATTTTTCCAGTGAAATAATTTAACAAACTTTAAAGTGCTATAACTCATAAATTATTAGGTATGGGGCATAAGAGTCTTGATAGTCTTTTATAGTGATTAAAAAATTGTATCGAATAACGTAATCGAAATTATAAAATTCGATTTTTGTTAAAAGTGCAATTGCATTTTTTAGATGCACCGATGCAACTCATTCTTTTTCAAAATGAAACTCTATGACTGCGATAACGCTATTCGATCTAGTTTTTTAAGCTCTGCCAAATAGTATTACGGTACTTGTGCCATAAACCTAAATTTCAAGAGTTATGGCAATTTAAAGTATAATAAATTATTTCACTTTAAATTGTTATGACTCTTGAACTATCAGATTTATGGCACAAGTTCTTTACTACTATTTTGTATGGATTAAAACACTGTATCGAATAGCGCTATGATAATTGGAGAGTTCCATTTGGGAAAAGATACAATTGCATCGATTATGATAATTTTTGTATCTCTAACCATTTTAAAAACATAGTTCTTCCCCAAAATTCTCAATGTATTATATTTCATTTCAAAGATAGTTTTCCAGGGTAACGAAAATTTAATTAACGAAACAAACGATGAAATTTTTCACGATCGTGCAACATTTCTCGCCGAACGAGTAATATGTAGATTTCTTTCGTATCCAGAAATTTTATTTTCATTCGGTCGCGAAAGCTTTTTTAAAACACCTGTAACTCCGTAAACGTAACAATATTCCACACAATAATTTGCATAATTATCGTCGTTACGGCCACTGAAACGATAATTGTAAAATATATTGGATTGGTTACAATTTGCTAAACAACGGCGTTTGTATACAACTATCGTTGTAATTCGATGCAAATACAACTTATCGTACTATAAATAGTTACGACTCATGGCCCCTGTACGATACATACAAATTTCGCAGGCATGTAAACATGAAAAATAGAAGAAAATAAGTTATATAATTGATTAATGCTTGTCCATAATCTCAGGATTCGTTTAAAAACTATATCTCATTTTTATGCAAATTATTCCTGTTTGCTTACAATATATGTACAATAGAAGTTTTTTTCATTCAGGGCTTAGTTCTCGAGGTAATCTAGTTTAAACAATGACTGCGCAATTTTACCAAATTGCTTGGAGAATCTAAAGTTCGTAATTAGACGAGTACAATTTTATGTGTATAAATAACGAGGAATATAATTTCAACAGTTTTATAACCAATGTAATGAAATTGATTTTCAAACGTAATATTATAAAATATTTTGAAAAAAAAAGAAATTAGAAACGGGGAGCGATCGAACGACATTTTAATTAGTTCCGTCGGGCTCGTAAGCCGGAAGAAAAGAAGATCAGCATAATAAAATCAGATTATCTTGGAATTTGATTCTTTCGAGCCACGTGCCTTCCATCGGACGACGACAAACGTATTGAAGGATCATAGTCATACTTTTAGCCAGGAAATATACGCACATGTATTATTTATTGCAACGTGTCACGCACGGCTCTGCTTTTCCCTCTGTTCCCTGTGCTGGACTAATTACACACAGAACAAGTTCCTATCCAGACAAAATTTTCTTCCAAAGATTAACCACATTCTATTTATATTTTTCAATATCGTTTCGAAATCGTTAAAATCATAAACAACTGGGATTAGTAATCGTATAAAAATTGAATAGTCTCTTGTTAATCGAAACATATTTATGCTGTCGGTTCCAAAAATAGTTTTAAACGATGAATGTGTGCGGAATTAGTCGTCAACCGATCAATTCCGGGTCACTTTAACCCGCCTTTTGCATATCAAGCGTTATCGAAGTAAAAAGTAAAATAAATTGTAACGGTGTTCTCCACAAAAAATGTTAGTATATCTACGAACAATGTAAAAGTAATAACAAATTATCGTAAATTTAAAATGCACATTCCTTGCAGTAATTTGTAAAGAAACACATTGCATTTGTTTGCTAAATTTGTTCGAGGATTAACAATATTATAATATTAAGAGAATACTGTGCAAATGCCTCTAATAATTTTTCCTACATTCTAATTGCTCAACAAAATTCTAAAAATCGAAAACTATTAATACTGAATCTAATCATCAATTGTGGTCGAGTCTCGACGAAACCCCTTCCCTAAAATATAAATAATAGAGCGTTGGAAATAATTGGTCGTTGTTTACAATTTTTGTTCGTTAGTTTATTGCGATTGTGAAACGTGTCGATGGCAGGTTCGAATAGTGTCGGTAAAAAGAAATACTGATATCGCGACAGTGTCGTTTTAGGGACGATTTAATCGGGCTCTCCCGCAGAAACGACCGGAAGGAGTAGTCGAACGATGGGAAACGCGCTGTTTGTCATGGTCTAAGGGAGTTTCCGGTTAGACACGTGCCCGCCATAAGGCTGGCGTCCTTCTCTAATTAGCACCGGGGCATCACGAGGGCTGAAATCATGCTTAATCCCTCTTTTATCCAGCCGTGTAAACGTTTCTGGCCCCCTGTTCCACAAACCACCTAACGCAAATTTAATCGCTCTTCGTCGCGATTTCTTCCTATCGATTCCTCCTTCTGAAGTCACGAGAGAAAACTGTGACAAATTTTAATCGAATTAACGACTCTTCAACGACTATTATTTTTTCACGAAAAATGTCGTTTCTCTATTATCAAAATAAAAATTATATCGTTGTCTCGCTCAAATATTTTCGTCAAATTATATTTTCCAAATGAAATCTGGAATTTCATGCAAAAATTACTCATTTTCCACTTGCTATATACGCATAATAGACAAATTAGAATAAACTAACAATTTCGAAAGATAGTGCACATAATTTTTTGGTTAATATTACGATATACTAATCAGTTTTTACCTTGTTTTTTTTTTTTATTGAGATAGATTAAGTAGAAAATGAACAGGAATGGGAACGTTCTTAAAATAATTTTTAACGTAAATGATACATGAAATGTTGTTTTAATAGATACGATGTAAATAGCCAACATAAATATAAATTGTACATTCCGAATATGTGAAACGTTGGAGCTTTCAAAATTCATTTTACAATCAAGTTTTGCCACGTTCGCAATCGTTGCTTTGCATTATTATTGCAAGAACGTCGTTGCTTTGTTCAACCTATCTGACCGCATTCTTGCAGTTTTGCATCGATGATTCTAACAAACATACATTTGTTTAAGATAATATACCGAATGTCACAAAGATTGACATTTTACACGTAGAATGTTGAACGCGTTCTTCGAACGATAAAAGAATACGGTATAGTTCGCGAGCTTATTTTTGCACGAAGAACCACGGTTTTATTGTTTTTCGAACCCTGTGTATTCGTGGCTCGAATAATTCACGGTGCATTCTTCTTGTCTAGAAACGAAACTGGTTCGCGACGGTTTAAAAACTAGACATCGCATAATTATCGGATAGATAAAATACTCCGTAAGTATTACGTAACGTAACCCTGGAGTGTGATGTACACACTTGCAGTGTTTCCAAGTGTACCGCGAATCGCTAGTTAAACGCATACAAGTGTCAGCCTTTTCAACATACCTCTGCTTTTCGTCGTGTTTTGATAAAAGCAACCTTGGCAGATAATTGCGCTTAATTGCTATGGAATTATTAAAAAAAAACACACACGCAGGCACGCACACGCATACACACCGACGACTGGTATCGAATTTTAATAGGTCGTCGGAAAGTTTAACGAAGCAAGCTCGAGATAAAATGGCCGATAAAGGCTGCGGTTAATTTCGATAATGGCCGTTCGGAAAATATCTTTTCAACCGATTCACTGTCGCTCTTTATCGTATCGATTAATAATCGAAGCAAGCCTTGCTGTGCACTTTATTAGTAATTTTTCTCCATCTTTTTTTTCTATCTAAAGTTCTACGTAAACATAATAATGGGAATTTACTTACC